GTGTGGGTGTGGGTGTGGGTGTGGGTGTGGGTGTGGGGTGTGGATGTAGGTGTGGGTGTGGGTGTAGGTGTCGGTGTGCGTGTGTCTCTTGTATTACCCCACATCTGCAGGCACATCCGCCGATACCCACACCCATACCCAGACCCTCATTTGGTCGAGAAATTGAAACGAAAGGCATGCCTTCTTAGTCAATTCGTATGGAATTAGAATTGGTTTTGTATGAAATTCTTCGAGAACAATTGCAGCAGCTAATGGATCATATTTAAGGTTAAATTCAAAACTAACTAAAAAGTTCAGATAATATGTATTTGTTATTCGTTCCGTATAGGAAGACTTACTCGATAATGCTTCAAAATAAGGGATTGTATGATTACCACCCATAGCTAACAATCGCTGGATATTTCGACTGAATTCTGGATCAAGCCAATGGGCGAGAAAGAGGTTGGTCAACTGATAGATTGCTGCTAAGACTAGTTGTCCACTATTTTCACGAGCCAAACGTCCAAGTGCTACAGCAGCTGGTCCATCAGTCAACAAGTCCAACTTAATGTCTTTGCCACGAGTGGCGTTGCAAGATCCATCTTCACCGTGAATATCTGGTGCATACTTTTGGCCACCATCAACGGTTCGGTCTGCTTCACGAAACACAGGTATATCGTAACGTTGAAAAGTATGTAAAAGATGATGAGCATTGCGAATGCCTTGAGCAAGTGATGCATTGCCTGTAACAATAGTAAGGCCGAGAATTTGCACGTCTGAAGGCGAAAAAGCCATCATTATAGCATGACAATCATCAATACCAGGATCGGTATCGATAACCAGCTTTATTGGAGTAGGATTCAACAAACTAGTCATTGTTGTTTGTAAAGTCTGAAATGTAGGATCTCCGAATAAATAAAATCAAAACGTTCAAAATTTTATGGAATAGTTCGGCGACGTTCCATTGAAGAAACAGAGCTCGGTAGTTTAATAACTCCTTGAAACACTTTATTGCACAAGAGCAAATCTTCACTGTAAAGAAGTGTCTGCCACACTTGTGTCTACACTCTAAAAAAAAGGTATCCGAGCGTTGGGAAACCCAATGGATGTTGGAAAACTGACTCGGAAACCTTTTAAAGGTTTTCGAAGGGCAAAATGGGTTTCCGAGCCGTTTGGAAACCCATTTTCTCCCGTCGAAAACCTTCAAAGGCTTCTCGAGTCGGTTTTCGAAACTTAATGGAGTTTCAGAACAGTTGGAATACTTTTTGAGTCGGTTTCCTAGAATACCTTTTGTTTTAGAGTGTAGCAAGGCTTTATGTTGCACAGCAAACAAAGATAATGTGTTGTAGTAAGGAGAGAAAAGTTGCCAGTGCTCGTTGCTATATTACCGAATTCCTAGTAAGGAAAAAGTTACCTGCTACTAGTCAACGATAACCAGTAACCGAATATTCTTGCGCTATTACTGGGTACCCAGACTTTTATAGAAAAAGATTTGGACGTATGAGGAGTAATTAATTCAAACAAGAGACTCGGATAGATATATTTTACACCGGTGAACTGTGCTTGTTCAGAATAAATGGATTAGTGGGAGTTAGAATAACAGAAAAAATGCTACAAATTTACAGAGAGTTTTTAAGCTTACAAGCGTATAAAAACATCCTTTGAAATGAAGTTGCGGAATAAACAGCAACTTTGTTATTTTGTGAAATTGAAGACTTGTGTTGTAAGATATAGGAAATCGTAATGGACTGTGATAAATATTTATAAGAATTCTTTGATAAAGTCACTTTTGTTTTTTGTTGCTTAATTATAATTTAAAAAATTGTATCTAATAGTCTGTTAAAGTCTTTTAACAAAAAGGATGCTATCTGGTTCAAACGCCTCTCTGGGAAGTATAAACAATAACACCACAATTATTCGTCAGTAGTTGTTTACCATGACTGGTACTAAGATGCTCTTCTATTCTCGATTTCAACGAATTCAGATTTTTTTTTTGCTGGAGATCAAAAAAAATGTTTTTTTTATCTGTTAGGTGTCCCAAGCTCTATCTGAACAGGTGTAACAAAATAAATTTAGTTCCCCTTCTAACATTCTACTTAATAATTAAATATTCTATTTGGTTGCTGATGTTGATGTCGCCTCATCTTGATACTTGATGATTTATAAGATATTTGTAATCCATCTTACTTAGATTTGTACTCTGCGGCAAACGAACTAAATTGCTGAGTGATACTCCTATAAATACCCTAATCTGAAACTTTATGAGACTTCAAGACCGAAGTCTCTGCTACTTTCGCTCGTTTATCAGAATCCTTTAACACCAGTTGAACTGAATAAACTGCAAGGAGCAACATTTACTGTTGGCAGTAATTATTAATTTATGATTTCGGAATTAGAAATGTGATATATATCACAGCTAAATTGGCCGATTAGAGGACGAATTTCATTATCAGAGTCAATTGTCTGTTCCGGAGCTAGCTTTCGAGGTCGGAATTGAAGGGAACGAAGCTCAAAAACGGTGATCGAACTGATATGAGTATCCAATTGCCGGAGTCCGTTGGATGTCCATCAGATCCTGAACTCGTGACTGTACGGAGAACAGCCATATCCGACATTTTTCAGGAAAATGTTTCCAAGTTGGAAGGTGTCGGATTTTGCCGGCGACTTTTCACCCTCTTTTCGACTGGATCTGGCAGTAAAGTGACCAGAAAATTCCGACAAGTTTCGGTCGGAAGTACTGCTTCCACATTCCGGCCGGAATGAACTGAAAATTCATCAGATCCAACCGTATCTGTTCGATCGGAGTTAATCAACGTTTTTTTTTATTATTAATAATTTTTCGATATGTGATATTGCTCAAAAATAAGGGTAATACATGAAAAAATATATGCAAAAAAAATCGTATCGGTATGCTTTTTTGTATCTAGAATACTATAGTTTTGTAGGAGCTATCTAGAGGCAGTACCATATTAGCCCTTCATAAAAAAACATTTGTTTATTATTTATTTTACCATTATTGTACAAAGATAAATGAAAAATCTTTTTATGTTTACTCTATAAATATAAAGAAAAATAAGAATAAATTAATACTTCTAGATGTTACAGCTTTTGCAGTTCTCTATCGCTTATGCATGTGAGAAAATTTTCTATAAACAAGAATAAGAGAAAATGCACTAATAATTTGTACCAGTTCTTCTAGAGTATTCATTGCTCAAGAAGAAAAAGCAATATATTTTCTGTGAGAGACTGTGTGACAAATGTTTTTAATTTGACATTAGTTCGATACAGACAATCAAAAAAATGAATGAAAAGTTTATACAGATCAAAACGAAAATAGCAAGTTTGTCTTCTATTGAGCTTTCGTCAGTTCGTAAAAACCCAGCTGCTCCACAGGATTAGTATCAAATATCATTTCTTTCCGAAGATAAATGTTCCACTTATATTTTTTTGCCAAGTCTTCAAAAGTCTCTTTATCGCCGTATGAAATTGAAAATCCAATAAATAGCCTTCCTCCGTCTTGATTCAAATATTCATTAGCATCTTTGAGATATTTATCGAGTGATTTGTGAAATGGATCAAATAGCGCCCGTTCTAAAATGTCTAATTCATTCACTGGTTTATTTAGGTGGCTGAAAGGAATATTCCAGAAAATGATATCAAATTTATCATCGGAACTTAGGGCACTAAAAATATCACTGTACTTGAGAGTGATTCGATGCTTGACATTATGTTTGATAGCATTTTCTTCGGCATTCTTCAGAGCATCTCTATTGATGTCCGTGCATGTAGCATGAGATGCACCATTCAGGACGGCCAATATAGCTGTGTACCCAGCACCTGTTCCAATTTCCAATATTTTCGGTTGCTTTGGATGAAACTCCGAGATAATTTTAAGAAACTCTTCTGCACAAAATCCTCCATCATCGAATATGTTTGGATTGAAAACATTCGGATAAATAACAAAGTCTACGTTGCAAATTTTTGCGTCATCCTTATTTCGAACATTTTTTGCACGTTGAATGAGTAGTTGTGTTTGCTCCACATATAATGGCTTTTCTTCCATCGTATTCAAGTTGCAAGATAGATAGCTTATCTTTTCCAGACAAATGCAATCTAAGCGTAAGGAGTTAGATTTTTTAGACTAACTTGGTTTTATCTAAAATAATATAATTTTACGCATAACTCTTCCGAAATATAAATAATATTATTCTGTTCCCTAGACTGAAAGGCTAGGGTCTAGAAACCGAAATTCACCTGTGTCTGTCTGTCTGTCTGTAACGCGGTCAAAATGGCCATTTTTTTTGGCACAAGTGTCCATTTTTTGGCGCAAAAGACCATTTTTATGGCACAAGTGACCATTTTTTTGGCACAAACGGCCATTTTTTTACTAAAATTAACTAGGTAACTATGGTAGAAATGAGCATGTAACTATGGCACAAACGGTCATTTTTTGGTACAAACGACCGCGTAACTATGGCACAGGTGACCATATAGCAACCATGGTAGAAACAACTATTCCGGTAACTATGGTATAAATTACCATCTAAAGACTGATGTAAATGAACCTATAATAATCATGGATAAAATGTCAATGGAATAACTATAATTCGGGTAGTGATGTAAAACGGCTTACAAAAGCATTTAATTAGTGAGAGTCAGACCAAATAAGCAGTATGGATGTAAAGAAATCGTTTAAATTATTCATTATTATAGGATTGATTGTGCAATGTTGTATCAATGAATATCTAATTTATTAATAGTTTAGAATTAATGCGCGAATTGAAGCATAAAATATTGATTAATAAAACTCAAATTTTATGAATAATATAATTCATATTTTTGTACGTACAAATAGCGTCAATATAATTATAAAAGCTGTTAGCGCAATCCCTTGCTGAATTAAAAATATGAAACACGATGGCCCTACTGTTAGTAATTAAATGGACTTCGTTTTCTTCCGTTTCTTTACGACAGATTTCTAGCTTATCGTTTTCTTTTGATCTTTCAAAACTAGTTTCTCTGTAACAGTCTGTGACGGATTTAGATATTCTCTGTCACGGTCTGTGATGGTCTCTGGAGTTCTCTGTCACGTTCTGCGGGGGGAGGGGTAGGTGGGTGCAAATTTCTGTCTCTAAACACTTCAACACTCCTTTCAGATCGTGTTTCACAAAAAAATCGTATTGTTGTCTAATCTTATTGGGCGCTATTTAGATTTATAAAAGCAAAAAAAAAATAAAACAAAAACGACAAAAAAAATTAATTTTGTAAATGCATCATCTTTACTTAGAGTGAGAATTCTCCAAATTAAGTTTTCTGCTCGCCTAAGATATACTGGTCATATTATCAATTTTGCGTATTACTTTTTTAATGTAGCTTTTAATGCTATTACATCCGTATATGTCATCTATCAGTCTACGGCTAAGTGAATCGCTTGACGATGAACGTTACTTGTTTTTTTTTGATACGGTTTATGGCTACCGTTGTAGAAAAAGAAACGTCTGTCATATTTAAAGGTCTATGTAAGGTGGGTTCTTATAACTTCTCAAGGACTATCTAGGTGTGGTCCGTATAACACTTTAGGGCTTAACTAGAGCGGTTCTTCAGAGTTTTTTATGGGCATATAGGAGTGATCCTTATAAGTTTCGGAGGCCTGTCTAGAAATGATCCTTGTAGCTTGTCAGATGCTTTCTATAGTTGGCCTTTATAACGTTTCAGCCTCTATCGGGGCGTAGTGTTTTTAGTTTCGTTAGACCTATCTAGGGACGACGCTTATATCGGTGGAGAAAGCCCTTCGAGAAATCTGATTGGCTAGAAACCTTTTCCTCTTAGCGAATCAGATTTTAGGTAGGATTTTCTCAAGCACTGTAAGGACAAAATATGGTGTTGTCCGCGGAGATCATGAAGTTTGTGGTGGTTATTTTTCATATTTTCTACACAATATCATGGGTCACTGTTACAACAATGGAGAAAAAGCTTCTTGGAAAAACAGCCTCCCTCTGATGAGATTTCGAAGTCCACAAAATTCAACAAACCTGTGGCAATTCAGATTCCTTGATGTCGAAAGCATTTCATCAAAGTTGATAAGATATCGTTATTTTCAAGAAATAACTTTTACAAAGTTAGAAATTTTCCGTCACTCGTTACCATTACAAATTACCTGAAAATGTAACCGGCTGGTAGCAGTTGCTTTCTTCCTCTAACAAGGGAACCTTGGCAAGTTTTAATTGCGGATTCGAAGGAGAGATATACCAGTCGATAGAGCTCGATGAGCTGATCACAGTGATAGCAGACGTTTTTTTCCCATAAGGCTTTCTTATAGAATTTTCGGGTCATATATATATCCTATAGAACACGGTCTGTAGGAACAGACTGAGTTCATTTATAAGGAAAAAGTTTATGAGACGCACACGTCTTTTTTTAATGGAAGTGATAACTATTGAAAAAATGTTAAAACGTGTGCATCTCATATACTTTTTCCTAATAAATGAACTCAACCTGCTCCTACAGACCGTGTTCTATAGGATATATATATGACCCGAAAATTCTATAAGAAAGCCTTATGGGAAAAAAACGTCTGTTATCACTGTGATCAGCTCATCTAGCTCTATCGACTGGTATATCTCCCCTTTGAATCCACGATTAACACTTGGCGAGGTTCCCTTGTAAGTTAAATGAATGATAAAAAAGAGTCTTGTATTAGAATATATTAAAAATATAGATGTACTCTTTCTATCCATCTACATGAAAAATTCAATATTTTTCTGCTATGATGAGTGACAAATGAAGAGTCAATATGTCGAACTAATGTGTATAAGATAAACGATCTGGTCTATCAAATAATTGAGAGATGAACGGTCATTATCTTGAAATAAAGTATATGAAAAAAATTATGTTTTCTATTGGGAACATTCAAACATAAAGAAATATTATTTGCGGCTTGACTATATAAAAAAACGATTACGCTAATTGAAATGGATAAGAACAAAGGACGAGGAAAAACAGCAGTGACTTTGGTCTTGCAGTCTCATAAGGTACTTTATCTTCCGGAATATCAAGAAGTCCACTGAACTTCTATCAAATTAATTGAAATATCTTGTCGCCTTTAAGTCGTAGATTTATTTGCAACTGGCTGTCCGTAAGTCATCTGAAACGTCAATAATACTTTGAAATTTCTTGAAGTCTCACTAGTCTCTCAAAATCTGCTATTTTCTCTCGAACTTCAACCTTGATATCCGGCAGTCTTAGAAAGTCCCGCAAAGACTTGAAATATTTTGACCTTCGGTGGGAGTTTGCGAAGTACCATATATTCCTCTCTCTACACAGCTATCGATCACACATATTTTCCCGTTCTTCTTTCGTCTTTCTATTGCGTCGTTTAAATAGTAAGTACATATTTTCAGTCATGTGGACTTGCATGTGTGAATTTTGTGCTCAAATCTGCTTAATTTTTCGTCAATATGAATGTTCAAGAGTCGATTGAAAATACTCAAATGATCATTGATGATCAAAATTCATTTCTTGATCAACAAAATAAGCCTGAAACGCTAAACAAAATAATAGCTGGACGAAATTCAGATACTACTAAACCACCACTATTAATCAAACATCAACAGTTAAATTCCACAACAACTTCTCAATAACAGAAGCTTAAACGAGATTATGAACTTCCTCCATTAATTTTGGAAGGTGTTAATCTCTCTCGAGTAGCTTTAAACAAATTTTTGGTGAAAACAATTCCTGATTTAAAATGCAATCACATTGTGTATAATGACAAAAGTCGGAATTTTACCGTATACCCTTCAACTGTAGCTTCATTCAACGCATTACTCACTCGATTAACTATGGATGAATTATCAGATACTGCGAAAATTTTTGTTCCACGATCGATTCAGCGAATTCAAAAAACAAATACAGAATCATTTGTGAAAAGCGTGGACAAAGAATTGTCGGTTAATGACATTGAAAATGCCCTTACTCGCAATAGATATTAAGTTAACCAAGTAGAAAGATTAATGAGTAAAGAAAAAACAGGTCCAGGAACAACTATTAAAATTACTTTTGGTGATATCAAAAATCGAGATACATTTGCGAAATTAGGGCTTCAAATCGATCATATGCATTTTCCGGTAGAAAAGACCAAACAAAAAGTTGTTCCGCCACAATGTCATTCGTGTTTTCGTTTTGGACACGTAGCTAAATATTGCAAACAATCGCATCTAATTTGTTCTCATTGTACTGGTCCTAATCGTTACGATGTTTGTAATAAAAACAACAACAACCAAAGTGTTGTAATTGTCAAGGTTCACATGAAGCTACATCTCATGAGTGTTTCAGGGGAAAGTATCAAAATGTCGAAATTATTTTGTCGACAGCGAAAATGTCGACAAAACAATGTCGAAAGGCGAAACGTCGACATGAAGAAATGTCGACAATGGAAAATGTCGACGACCAAAAATGTCGAAAAGGCAAAATGTCGACAGTGGAAAAATGAGAAACTGAACTGCTTCCGAATTGTTACTGTGATTAAATGAAGTTTGAACCTATATATACTGCAGATTAGCAGAAACAGTAGCAAGAAGTTAGACAGTCTTGATCCATATCGAGAGATATATTTGATTTCCATTACTTTGACTGCATCCAACGATCGGTACCTAGATGATTACACCACTATCGTGGACGTTCTTACTTTATTGAGCTTGTCATACAGGACGAAAGTCTTCTTTAGCTTTTTTTTTCTTTGAACTTGCTTAATTTAGCATGGATAGTTGATATTTAAGGGTAGAGATGAGGGTGAAAAAGTGAGCTCGTCGCTGTGCTCGAACTTTCGACATTTCTCCGTGTCGACATTTGGCCTTTCGACATTTTTCTTGTCGACATTTTGTTCTGTGGACGTTTTCTTGCCGACATTTTACTGTCGACATTTTGACACCTCACCGTGTTCCAGATATTAAGAAAAACAAAAACGATTACAATCAGCGACAGATCGATATTCATATTCATCGGTAAACACGCAATATTTTGTACCTGTGCCAAAAGTTCATGATCTTACAGAATATCCGACGCTTTCATCATCATCTTCGTCTATTAACCCTCAAACTATCAATAATATTATTGAAGCATGTATAGCTGCGACACCAGCAGCAATCGAACGTATATCCGAGCAATTAGTTGCTATGTTTACCAAGAAATTAGAGGAAGTAACTCATCAAATTCTATCTAAACCTCAGCTGCCAGTGGATTTAACCATTGATTCTCTCTCTCGTGATTTCAATTCTGACCTTGATAAAAAAGAAGGAAAAAAAGATAATGATTGTTCATTAAAAATTTCATCTAATCCAGGTCAACTATCGATCATTGATGATGGAGAAACTGCTGCAGCTGAATCAAAGCATACATCTGATACACACCAAGCATTACGACCTACTATATCAAATACCAATGGAATGAAACGTTCTTCTAATATCGAGTCGTCCACCTCTCACCAACCCATACGAACAAATAATAGCAAACAACGTAAAGTTACCAAAACAACAAAATTAACAAATAGCATACCAGTGATCTAATGCGTTTTTGTCACATTAACGCAACTTCAGCTAAAAAGCATAAGGATAAAATTTTCAATCGTTTTGGTAAAATGGATATTCTATCCATCAATGAGACTAACTTACATGATAAATTTTAATTTCAATTATCCGGATTTATTATCTTTCGTTTTGACCGATCTCAAAAAAAAAGGTGGTGGTGTCCTTCTTGCAGTACGAAAGGAAATTCAGTGTCATGAAGTCTTTTCCCAAGACTTTGATAACAATGAATGTGTAGCTATACAAATATTTACGAAAAATGGTCCACTTCTGATTTGCTCACTATACATACCACCGGAAGCAAGGATATCGTCACGACTATTTGATCATCTTTTAAATATAAACTTGAATTGTTTGGTGATTGGAGATCTTAATGCAGCATCTACTCTTTTATGATCACGCAAAACAAATAGCAAAGGTTTTCAACTGCAAGAGTTATTAAACAACACTGTGTTTTCCTGCCTTGAAGATAGTATAATCACATATGAAAGGAATTAGTATGTGGAAAAATGAGATTGGATTTTAGCTACTCGACCAACTATTTTTGTCATTAAAAATGTCAACACTCATGCGCCTCTAGGTACTGCTAGTGGTCACAAGCCACTAACCTTTGATTTAATAATTACTACTGACAAAAAACCGCCTTCACCACGACTGCAGTTTTTATTCAAATTGGCCAATTGGTCTTTATATCGACAAATCTTGAACGAAAAGCTAGCGAAATGGGATTTAAATCGTTCATTAGTTTCTACAAATGAAATCGACGAATATGCGAAATTTATCAGTGAAAATGTTGTTATGGCAGCTCGCGTGGCTACCCCTCAAAGTATCGGAAAAATTAGTATTGAAATTAGTTCAATCACTAAACATCTTATAACTATTAAGCATCAATTATACCGTAGTTGGAAAAAAAATGGTGTAGGAAAAAGTCAATACTATCGAGCAAGAGATTCACTTGCACTTTCGTTACGAAATGATCGAATAGCTCGACTTCGACGAACTATTCATGCTCTTACTACCAAAAAGATGAATACAGGCAAAGTATGGGCACTTATTCGAAAGTACCACACCAAGAGAATAAAACAACAGTTCACCTCTACTTTAAAACATCATCAAATATTGGCAACCAGTGATGCAGAGAAGGCAGATTTGTTTGCCACATATTTTGAACGTGATGTTTACCCGAGTGCGCCTAATACATCAACTTTTAACGTTCATGCCAGCGAGGTTATCAAGAAAATCAAGCAGTCAAACAACAACTTATCAATTACTCGTCAACGTTTTCGACTAATTACAGCGAAAGAACTGAAATCGATCTTGAAACATTTACCGAATTCAGCAACGGGGCCAGATAATGTGCACAATCGATGTTTAAAAAATTTTACAAATTCATTAATTGATCATTTACTTAAATTAATGAATGTAAGTTTAATATTTGGTTATGTTCCTCGCTCCTGGAAAACTGAATTTATCACTTTATTACCTAAACCAGAAAAAGATCGAACCCAAGTTTCGAACTATCGACCTATTAGCTTACTAAGTTGTGTAGGAAAGGTTCTCGAAAAGATGATTAAACAAAGACTTATTTCGGAATTAAATTATCGCAACATTTTACCTCGTCATCAGGCTGGTTTTTTGGAAGGAAAATCTACCATGTACAATATCTTAAGGCTAAGTCGGTGTGCTCGACAAGCTGTTGATCACAGTCATCATGCTGCAGTTATATTCTTCGATATTAAATCAGCTTTCGACACTGTCTGGCATTACGGTCTTATTTACAAGATGAAAGATTTTCGTTTACCAGACTATCTCATTTATTGGACAATATCTTTCTTATATAAAAGAACAGCACATATTGAAATTGAAAATCAACTCTCACGTCCTTTTCGAACTTAACAGTGGAACACCACAAGGTAGCCCTATTTGTCCTCTTTATATAATATTCACAGCTGATTCAATGAACTCCATTCCATTCGAAGTCGATTACAGCTTATTTGCGGATGATACCGCTATATTCAGTTCAAGTAACACGACATCTAGAGTTCGTGATCGTTTACAAGAGTCTATAGAAGGTTTTGAAAAGTGATGTGCATTATGGAAACTTGTAATTCAACCCAATAAAACAGAACTCATACACTTTTCACCTCATCCTCGTAAAAAATATTTGAATCCTATTCATCTTCAAGCATCAAAAACTACTATACGACCACAATCATCTGCACGTTATTTAGGAGTTATTTTCGATCAACGATTACATTGGCGAGATCACATTAAACATACCGAAACTCGTGTTCAATCTCGAATAAATTTACTTAGGTACTTGAACAGGATCACACTTGAATCGAATGAAATAATCATACTCAACCTATACAAATCACTTATTCGACCAATTCTAACCTATGATTCTTCTATTCTCCTCCATGCCGAAGATAAAATCTGGAATAGATTACAGATTGTCCAAAACAAATCCCTTAGGGCAGCTCTTAGTTTACTTCATTTTACTTTAGCTATATACATACATAGATTGACCAACATCCCATATATCCGACCATATATTACAGAGCTTACTGGAAGAGCACTTGTACGAAGTCAAATGATGGAAGATGAAGTGACTGAACAAAATTTAACTTTTCTACTTGACGTACAACAATGAATCAAACCGATCATTATTCGTTTTCTTTCCTTTCTTGTTTGTCTTCTTTTCATTTTTCTATTATTATTAAAAGCAAAACACTTGTGTGTCAAGAGCTTTTCTCAAGGGGGAAAAAGTGGATTCCGTGTATCGGAGATACGGTGGCGATACGTACGATACACACGATACGGTGGCGATACAGCCGATACCTTCATGATACGCGCAATACATTGCAGATATTAAGGATATGACTTAATTCAATAGAAAAATTCAAAGTATATACCATGTATCTATGAAAGTATTCTTAGGTCCTCATGCGAAGGGAGAAACAGCTGATTTCAAGATTCCGGGATTCCAGGGATTCCAAGGGATTTTATATTAAGGCTTTTCGACCTTTTGATAAAACTTTGCAATAGGTTATCGATAACCAGGGATCCGAGTCTGAAGTCCTTTTTTTTCGATTCGAGCTTTCATTAGTCAGAAAATGGGCCATTCAGAAACCAGCTTTTTCCCTCGACTGAAGCGACGATGATATGAAATAAATAAAGTTTGACAGGCTCACGGCGAACACCGAAAATATTTAATTGGCTAAACTGCCTGCCTGAAAAAACTTCATATATATTTGATATTATTGAGATTATCGAACCTGTAATCACGCTAAGACGTCTGAATGCGCTACTATCCAAATGACTACGAGATCACAAACTCATTTTATTTCATATGATCCTCCCTCCAGTAGAGGGAAAAAAATCTCGTTTCTGATTGGTCCATTTCTAACCAATGGAAGCTCAAATCGAAAAACTGACTTCAGATTCGAATTTCTGGATATCGATAACCTATTGCAAAGTTTTATCAAAAGGTCGAAAAGTCTTAAAATGAAAAAGCTCATTTTTGATTGGTCCATTTTCTGACCAATGGAAGCTCAGATCGAAAGACTAACTTCAGATTCGGATTCTTTGACCCGACTTACTTTCGTCAGCCTTTATAAAAAAAAATCGCTATTTTCTTAAAAAACTCTTTCCTTTCTGAAAATGGGCTTGTACTGATAACCGTACTTACGGTGATCTTAGTTGGACAGTTAACCGTACCTACGGTTATCGTCACCGTTGCATCCCTAGGGGGCAATTAGGGATGGGTTTTTGGATGATCATTTATTCCACTATTATAAGGATGAAACATATTGGTGTCCGTGGCAATTATAGGTTTTCGAGGGTTCTCTTTAATTCGCTCCGAACAACGTAGTGTTGTCTTCTGACATTGAGGGAGAACGGGACATAAGAGGGAGGGGGAGGATGGGTTTGTTGAGTCATCATTTTTTTCCACTATTGTAAGGATGAAATATAAAATTTGTTTAATTCGCTTGTCGGCTTTCATGGATTCTCTTTAATTTGTCCCGAACAACCCAATGTTATTTTCTAACAATAGGGAAGAATTTGATATATAGGAAGGAGCAAAATATGGATTTGGTGATCGTGATCTTCTTCAGTATGGAAATGACAAAAGATAAGATTGTTCGGGACGAATTATAGGGTCCCTTGAAAATCTCTAAAAGATGCGAACAATACTATCTGTTGTCCTTACAATCGTGAGAAAAAAACAAGGGGAAACAGCTGATGCCAAGGGATACCATGGGATTCCACGGGATTCTAAGGGTTCCACGGGATTCTAAGGGTTCCACGGGATTTCAAGGGATTCCAGGGATTCCAAGGACACATAATCAGCTGTTTTCCCCTTGTCTCATGCGCTATTATTTGAAGCTACCCTTGGATCCTCATGTCCTATTATTTAGAGGTACCCTTAGGTCCTCATATCCTATTATATGAAGGTATCCTTGGGTCCTCATGTTCTATTATTCAGGGTTGGCCACGGAACTTTCTTTTGGAACCTTCACCGTAGTTCCGAAACTATTGGAACTATTCCTTTCTCGTTTTAACAGCTTCTTCAGCAGACCTATGAAAGAACTACCGTTACTTCCACTCACAGCTTCATCACCAACATTCACCATCACTCTTAACCATATATCCTAATCCTCAGTCTCGACGACTCATCCTCACCCTCATCATTAAGATTCACTATCACCGTCAACTGCCGACCCTCACGTTCATCCTCACCCTCAACTCAGCACATTTATCTTCACTTTCACCATTAAAAACCTGTTAAAGCAAAGAAAAAAAGTTCTAATAATTCCAAAACTATGGTAAAGGTTCCAAAAGAAAGTTCTGTGGCCAGTGCTGAAGTTTCGACATGAGCTCTTATTGCCATGAACTTTGTTTCATACTGCCGTTAAGATTCAATTAGCATACAAATACAAAAGGGTCTGAAAACCAATAAGTCAAAGTTGTCATGTTTGTCGAAGAACTGTAGAAGTGGTTATGACGGTTTCGTAGAAATCAATAGGTGGTTACCAGTTCGTTTCGAACCACGCACTATTGCATCAGCAATCTAATGCGTTCTGTACACTGCGTTTCCCACTCAGCTATTCATCTACTCTGAATATTTGCGGAATCTAGCGATAGATATAAAAAACGGCGGCTAAAAACAATGTGTTCATTCGGAAACAGTCGAAAGAAAAGGATTAGAAAGAAGTTTCTAGTAGACTTTTACCGAGATAGTTTTGTCTGACGACTTCAACATGGCAGCCTATGCACAGTTCTAACACCAAGAAAGAGATATATCTTACTTATTGAGACCAAAATATGCAATAATTCGTTGACTTTACAGTTAGGGTCTCCCATTTTGGAAAGATAAATAGTTCAGACTCCTGAGTGATATAATAGTTCAAATTGTAGCATCCCACATTGACATTGGTTTTTAAGTCTGATAAACTCTTAAATAATTCATGCCAATTATAAGCAGCTTCTTAAGAAATCCTATTTTTCAGCGAATGATCTATGCAAATTGCTGCAAAAATTAATATTAAATTTTCATCATTTGGTTTTTGAGCTGTACATAATTCCCTCACATGAAAAGGTGTAACAGAACGGTATCATTCCATATGTAAAATCTTTTCAATACTTTCTTAGACAACTATGCTTTATTAATACGAATTGGTATATATTTTCCAACACTTGAAAGACGTTAATTTTTCTATTGGTAAAAAATATATAGAAGGCAAAGAAACTAAGACACATAAACTGACCTACAGTTAAATAGTGAGAACTAATGAGCTTACTTATCTAGTCTCTGAACTGCTTGTTCTGTGCTCATTTTGGATAGATGAACTTATAATGTGTTTAGACTGTTATAACCTTGGAGTGGGCTTCTATTATTCGATGGACTTCCATTCTGTGGAGTGGTTTTGATAGGACATGAGGACCTAAGGGAACCTTCATATAATAGAAAATGAGGATCCAAGGGTACTTCCAAATAATAGCACATGACTACCCAAGGGTACCTTCATATAATAGGATATGAGGACTCGAGGGTATCTCCAAGTAATAGGACATGGGGACCTAAGGTACCTATATATAATAGCAAATGATGACCCAAGGATACCTCCAAATAATAGGAGATGAGGACCCAAGGGTACCTTCATATAATAACACATGAGAACCCAAGAATACCTTCATATTATAGCAAATCAGGACTCAAGAGTACCTTCATATAATAGGACATGAAGACCCAAAAGTACCTCTGAATAACAGGAGATGATGACCCAAGGGTATCTTCATATAATAGCATATGAGGATCCAAGGATACCTTCATATAATAGGATATGAGGACCCAAGGGTACCTCAAAATAATAGCGCATGAGTACCCAAGGCTACCGTCATATAATAGGATATAAGAACCCAATGGTACCTCCAAATAAGAGGACATGAGGATCTAAGGATACCTTCGTATAATAGGATATGAGAACCCAAAGGTGCCTAAAAATAAAAGGAGATGAAGACCCAAGGGTACCTTCAAATAATGGGACATGAGGGTCCAAGTGTGTCTCCAAATAATAGGATATAAGGACCCAAGGGTACCTTCAAATAATAGGACATAAGGACCAAAGAATACTTCCAAATAATAGCATAGGAGGACCCAAGGGTACTTCGTATCCGCGATTCGTACGATCCCATGGCGATCCATACGATCCGTACAATCCCGGGATCCGACAATCCGCTTTTTCCCTCTTGGCTTTTCTCTTTTTGTTTACTTCAAGATTAATTAATAAACCTGTTGTCACCACAAGTACCATATAGTCTTAGAAATCTTTCAAACTCCCGTAAAGTTTCATAAAGTCTGCTGGAGTATAGTGAAAGCTTTTAAAAACCTC